CACCTCCACAACAAAGTCAACACGATTGCGAGTGCGAGAGACTATGTAAAGAGCAGTTTGTCCGGTCAGCTCTAAGGATATTATTGATAGCCCTTTACTACATTTTGCATATAGCAACGGGGACCATAGCTTAAAAAAAAGTACAGTACGCAGCAAGTTAAAAGTTTCACTTCAAATATAATTTATTTGATCATTCGCGAGTGGGGATTTATATACCTGGTTGTTGTGATCTAAGTAGCTCATTCAGTCTCAAACCTTTTCAGTTGGTAGAACTTGATATTGGCTTTCTATGTGGTAGTCAAAGCTGACGCAATCTATTCGAAGGTCGTCTCTAACTTTAGGTAGAACCTTACTTCGACAATTCTACTACATTGGACACTATAATTAGTAATGCAAATATTATAAGTTTGAACAGATCTTTGAGACGAAAAAGAGTTCACATCTATACACTCATATCAGTACCGCTCGAATTGAGCTCTTTACTACTTCTAACAATGGTTGTCTCTTGGCTGGTGACATTGTACGAATTTTTAAACTTTTCGTGAGCATGAAATGGATTGGATCTAATTCCAGCTTTTGATATGAGCTTACGAGTATATAGCTTTATAGTTATTGCTTTGGAATTCTACCTTAAGCCCTTTAACACCTCGACCTACCACGCAAAATTAAACGTTCCCTGCAATCTCTTCCTTTTGAAGAATCTATATTTTATTGCTCGTTACGCCTGATGTGCACACCATTGCTGGGCAATGACTGTCGAAGAGGCTCACCTTGTCGTAGCAGTTATGACTCGAACTGATTTGATGCTGCCGAGGCGCTCGCACTTACGTGAGTTCACATATACCAGCGACTTGTAAATGTTTGACTTGGCCACGTTCGGCTGGAGTGAATGGTGCAAGATGCCAAAAACATCAGTTTAGGCACACAAGCCGCGGAAGAGTTGAGCCTAGGCTTAGCTGTGCGATAACCGATCATCGAGTGTTGGAAATAGTTTGAATTCGAACAAAATAAATATTTGCTGTTTCTGCTGTCGTTCACTGCCGCTGCCGAAGTGACTTCACGAGCGGGCGTACAACGCTACCAGCGCGCCGCGCCACTGTTGCCGTTCGGCTGTTGTTGGTGTGATTTCTTGTTGTGAACCAGTATTTAATGCGTGTGTTTGCTCAGCGCATGGGATTGGATCGCATCGCATGTACGTGTTAAAAAATTCCAACTCTTTGCAAGACACGGAACCACTTTCGCGTTGATGGTGGCGCGGCTGATTTATATCCGCACTACGACTTCATATATGTTGGTGTGTGTGTGTGTAGGTGCTCCCGCCACTGTTGGCATTTAACTTCTTTAACGTTATTATTGATTATTGCCGTTCTTGTAGTTATGCTGTTTTAGTTGCTCTTGTTGTTGTTGTTGCTAATTGCGCTGGCATTATTCTCCATTTGTATCCACACTCTTATGTTGTTGTTGTGGTGCGAGTTGCTACCTTTTTCGCCTCTGTTTGCTCACCGTGTCTGTTGTCTGCGCTGTTTGTTGTTTGTACCATTTTGTTGCTTGTTGTTGCTTCTTTATATTAGGCCTCCTCCATCATCGTCATTACCATCGCCATCATCAGCGCAGCCTCAGCCATGAAAACAATGAGCAACGTTGATGGGGTTAGGCATTTGTCGTGTCGCTGCTTTCTGCGCCCTTACATCTGTATTTGGCGTTTCCTCTTCGCCTGTATGTGTGTATGTGTAGGCAACACAGTTGTCCGTTCGCCCCTTTAGTCAGATATTTCAACCGGCAGCGAGTGTTTGGCTGTGTCGCTTGTCAATCTTCACCTGCTTGACGGCGTTTCTAACTTCGTTCAACTGTCATCTACATGTTGGTCGCGCATTGTTGTTGCTACTGTTGTAGCGAGTCTATGTGTTTGTGCTATTTCACACACACACACACACACACACATGCACACAGCGAAGCAAACAAACTAAAAAGTGCTTGTAAGTTGTTAGCGTTTTTTGCTGCCGCTACTGCCAACTACTCATTGCTGCTGTCGTGTCCGTCCGTTATTTCACTAAAGTCGCTTATTGTTCGTGTATGCCTGCCTTCGTTCGCTTCGTCTCGTTTGTTACTGTTACTGTTTTTGGCATCTTTTGAATGACAGGTTGTTGAAAAATTCAATTTACTTGATCGCCTCAGTGTTGCGCGATACACGATAGTGGCGGTGTTGCTCCAACGGATTTCTCGTGCGTCATCATTACATGCGCACAAAAACAAAAACAATAGTGAAACGGTGGTGGAAACCAAGTATGTGTGTGTGTGTGTTTTCAGCGCATGACAATTGCAATACGCCGATTTAGTGATCGCGCGGTGTAAATTTTGTATATTATATTCGGAGAATACAAATTATTTACAACAATAACAAAAAAATACTGTGAATAACTTTGTGTGTCAAACATCGGCAAATATGTGCAAATCCAATTAACTGTCGTCTATTAAACACATGAGTTAATATCTGATTGATCGCTAATGAGCTGCGAGCACTTTCGAAACTAAAAATAAATGTCAAAATAGCAACAAATCGAAAAGTTGGTGTTTTTCGGCAACTATAATAATATTAAAAACCATTTAACATATTACGAAGATCAATAATCGTTCTGCTGCTTATATATATATATATATATATATATATATCTTAAGGTTGGTTATAGCTAGTGACGCAAATAAATGAATATGTTTCAAAAAACACGATGTCAGAGTTCAGAAATGCTTACTTCAGTTTTTCAGTTTCGGGTTTAATCGTTATGTATACATTTTTGCACGCTTATGAAAGACTTTTAGCTTACTGTACTATATTAAAAAGTAGAAGAAGCTTGTAAGCGTCTATATACGAAGTTTTATAAACGATAAAAAATTAGTTCAGAAGCGTTCAAAACAAAACTGCTAGAGAGGATTGGAGCTACATATATATGTTTATGCCGAAGTAAAATTTTATTTTGTAAAGGAAACTTTAAACAATGCAAGGGATAATAACTGTTAACCATGCTATGTGCATATTTTACAATAGTTACGAGTATTTTTTGTATGAATGAAACTTAAAAAAAAAACAAGTAAGCAAATCCTAAGTTCGGGTGTAACCGAATATTTTATACTCTTGCAACTTGCACGGATCGAAGCATTGAAAATACCTTCAGTTGTTAGAAAAACTTTGTATTAAAAAATGTTACGAAACAATTCAATATTAATTATTCGATGCAATCGGGAATGGCTTACAATAAAATTTGGTATTTTATTAAGCTATATTATAGGCCATAGACTCACGTACTTTTATTATTATATATTATACTTCCTTTTAGCTAAAATTATATTAAAATCAGCTTCAAATAAAATATATGGGATATTAACTGAACTGAAGAAGCTAAATTTAATATAATGAGTTGATTCGAAAACGATTTCATCCAATTTTACCTATTTTCACATTATCGCAAGAAGGGTTGAAAGCATTTGTTGCATGTTAATTTTGCTTTATTGGAAGAAACACACATTAAACTTATTAGGAGGCAGCTTAATTGGATTCGTTGTGCCAAATTTGAGTTCTGAATCTTAATTTAGTGCTTAGTTATGGCACTTTATAAATGTTTCTTTAATTGTGTTTTGTGGGCGTGGCAGTGGTCCAATTACGAACTCGCCCTCACTTTTTTTTTACCAAGGAATAATGTACCAAGTTTCATTAAGATACCTTAATTTTTACTCAAGTTACAGCTTGCACAGACAGACGGACGGACTGACTTCAAGATTTCAATTCGTATCGGCATCCTATATACACATATAACCCTATATATATCTCGATTAGTTTTAAGAGATACAAACAACCGTATAAAAACGTCTACTTCGGTTGTTACAATACCCTTCACATGTGCTTGTTTTATAGCATAAAGCGTATAAAAAGATCTTTTTCATGATTTTGATCGGTTAATTTAAATGACAGCTATATGCTTTAGTGGTTCGACCTAAATAATTTATTTGGAGATTATAGCGATGCCTGAGATAATAATCTATAATCAGATTTCGTGATGATACCTTGTCAAATAAAAAACACGAGGACCTGAGTTGGAACGATCAGTTTGTATGGCGGCTATATAGCACATGTGGTTGTCCGATCTAAACGATTTCTTTTCAGATTATAGCAGCGCTTTGAATAATAATCTATGAATCTTGTTAAATAAAAATTTAAAATCTTTTCCATACGAAGACTTGATTCCGAACGTTCAGTTTGTATGGTAGATAATCCATATCGGCGGTTCCGAAGTATGAGGAGGTCTTTGGTCTCTACTACAATAGAAGATATTGTCGAAAAAAATTAAAAAAAAAATTACAAAGTTGCGGCTTTTTCAAAACAACCGAATTTCAATCCAGGTTTTGTCGTTTTTGAAATGAGTGGCATATACCATAAAAGACTGAAACTCAAAAACTATTTAGGATATCCATTTACAATTTTAGTATGTTATATTTAAAGCTATAACTTATCGAAAATTTAAATTTCACACTAGTTGCTTCTCTTAGTACGTTGCTAGGACAGTGAGTGGCTGAAGGCTGCGCTTGTATTCCATAATATCTGCAACCATGTATAGTTCTCTAGGGTTTAGTTTTAGATTTTCGCTCACCTAGAGAAGAGTCGAAAACACTAAACTAAAAATTTTATTTTGTGTGTTCTCTCCTTCCGAATTCAATAATTATCAAAAGGGAAGTGCTCACAATAATTAATAAAATTTTGTGATGAGATTTTTAAAACTTCGCTGATTACGATCTACTATTTATGAAAATAGCTGAGGAAGAGTTATTGCTTAAACTTTAGTATATTATTCACCGACCACTTACAGTTTTATAACCAAATATTTGTCTACTTTTTAAGTATCTCTTGCATGATTTGGGATTAAGTAGAAATTCATATTTGAATAACATATTTTCTATGGCAAACAATAATAATACTCAATATATAAATAAATTTCTGTATTTCTCTGCAGGTCCCAAAGATTGTGATCTACCCAAAGCCGCAATCACGGCCTTGCACGCCGGCGTCAATAGTTTCGGCCAATTGCCGCCGAACGCGCAAAATCCGGCCGACGCGGTGTTGAACGGAGGCGGCGGTGGCGGCGGGGCGCGGCTGCACGTCACTGGCGGCCTATGCGACACGCCCAATCCGCATCACAATAACAACAACAACAATACCAATAACAACAACATGCAACAACAGGATCAGGTGAGCATGCAACAAGAAATGAAATGCAAGCCACGGCGATGCAGGCGGGCCAACGCAAGAAAAAATTTCGTAAATTAACAAAAAAAAAAAAATGAAAAAATTAAATCGAATTGATTCTTCAACACAAATCATGCAACGGTCATCTCTTGTGCATTTTATAAAGCTCGTGCATACTTTTTCTAAATACAATACATATTTACACATAATTGAATGTTTGTTAATTCATATTCTCGATGTTTTTTCTTTTCTTTCTTTGCATTTCCTTCTTGCTGTTGAAAAACCAAATCGGGCATTTCTGAATTTATTTCGATCAAATGAAAACAAAACCGATTTTCATTTATGCGTTTAACAAACATTTTCACGCACATATATGTATATGCTTGCATCTGCGTATGTATGTGTATGTTATGTTGCGAGTTTATTGTGTTTATTAATTGGTAAATGAATGCGAAATGCGCGCACAAATCTGAATTCATTCATTCAAACAAACGAAAATTTATCGAAAAAATTGAAAAAGTAAGTGTATTTCTCTTCTATATTTGTAGTTGTAAATTGTATTTTTGTATGATTTATGTATATGCATATATGTCAGATAAAATCTTAGGGTATTTGTGTGTGTGAAGAAAAATTAATTAAATTACGGAAGGAAGTCAGCTAGTAAGGGGTTTGTGAAGGACTCGATCAAAATCAACGATTTGGTTTAATTTATGAAAATATTTACCGTTTTTTCGGAGCAATTGCATTCAAATCGATTTTTTGTGGAGTCACAATGCATAATAAATAAAAGACTTACAGATTACTTGAAAATAATACTACAAGGTTATGTTAAGCTACGGTGGGATAAATGAAGCTATGGAATCAAAATTATTGTTTAAGAAAAATCAAGGAATTTAATATGTGATTGGTGCATAAAACCAGTTCTGATAATGCCGTTTCTATAGCTTTTTCGCTATACAAGTATATATAATAGATTCATAGTACGAATAGACTTCCATGTTGCTTTTGAAATTTGTTCAGTTTGTATGGCAGCTATATGCTATAGTGGTCCGATATCGACGGTTCCGACAAATGAGCAGCTTCTCGGTAATGAAAGTATGCGTGCAAAATTTCAGATCGATATCTTAAAAACTGAGGTAGTTCTAGTTTGCGTATATACAGATAGGCAGACGGCTAGACAGTGAACGGACAGACAGATAGACATGACTAAATCGACTCAGATCGTAACGCTGATCATTTACATATACATTCTATGGGGTCTCCGACGATTCCTTCTGGTGGTGTTTGGCGTATAATTAATAACCAAAGGAAACTATTGACCGGACCTGGACCCCTCTTACGTTCTTTTGAACTTAAGTAAGCATTACATTGGCAAGACTGCTGGAATAACTAACAAAGAGAGGATGAGTAGTTAAATTCCTAGATATATAGGTTCCACACTTCAGAAGCTAATATAGCAGTATAAATATCACCAAAAAAATATATAATTTTTGTGTTTTTTATTAGCTCAAAGTCCTGTAAGCTAGAACATATTTATAAGATAATCTTACGCAATCGTTAAAGTGGAAAATGGCTTACGTTCAACAGCGTTTCTATCTCTTGCAGAACTCGGATAAAAACAACAAGCAGAAACGACATCGCACACGCTTCACGCCCGCCCAATTGAATGAGCTGGAGCGGTGCTTCTCGAAAACACACTATCCGGACATTTTCATGCGCGAGGAAATTGCGATGCGCATCGGACTGACCGAGTCCAGAGTGCAGGTAAGTGCGTCATATACAATACATAGAAGCTACAAAATCAAACATACATGCACACGTGTCTAATATGTAAAGCGGACAGTTATATTCGCCGGCATTTGCAATCAATATTGACAGCGAGTGCATTTGCGAAATGTTGCGGTTTCGAGCGCACAAATGTCGAAGTTGATTGCGGTTGTAGGCAATGGCAGCTACGCAAATATATTTGTCGGCTTAGAATAATAGTTGTCACCAGCGGCTGTGTTGCGCTGTTGTTACTGCTGGCGTACGGTACCGTTATTTGTTTGGTTTCGATTTTGACGTTTGCTCTGCTCGCAACGCTGACTCGAATGGGTCATCTGCCTGGTGTTTTCGAAACAATAAATGGATATTTTGGTGGTTTTGGTTTCAGTGCGGTTTTCGTCATCGATGTTCGGCTTGTTCAACATGACATTTCGTAGATGTTCAATAGTTGGTTATGTCCGATTTGTTGCAATAGGCCGCAAATTTGTTCTAAAATGTCATTGCGGCCTGAAAGGAGTGCTGTGATTACTCTTTGGATTGTGTTTGCAGTAATGGAAATGCACACAGTGTGATGGACAATAAGGATTTTGAAAAAAAAAAAACATGCAACACAAATCCATAAATAGTTTCTAAAAATTTTATTTTAATTTTGGATGTTTATTAAAAGTACTGAATCGCTTGAAGATGCCACAAGGTATTTATTGATTCTTAGATTTCTTTCTTAATTTTAAGCAGTTTGAATTGAGCCTTAGAAAATATATTATAAGAATATTGGTATTTTTGAACACTGAGAACTTGTATTGATTTTGTGCCAAAACTGAGTACTCTTCAGAATTGAGTTATGTCAGATTAGGTTAGATTATACTGGCTAGCTGCCACGCCATACATAGACTTCAGCTGAAGTATACGTAATACAGGATACCTTTTGTGAATTGAACACAGACTTCATAACTGATACCTCATCTAGTCAATTGAACTGCGAAGCGCCTAAATAGCTAAGCCAAATTCTAGATAAGGCCGGCCAGAATCAAAGAAGCTGTTCCAGCATCTCTCTCATGCCTACTTCTGCGTATTTTCTGTGCTGGTGATGTAGCCAATCGGTTGGCTTTTTTAGCAATCTTTTTAGCTATTTCATTTAATGTGATTTGAAACCTTCTCTCATAGATAAAGTTTCGTTGTGTGCAAGATTGGATGCTTCAGACTTTACTGTAACGGTACTTTTAGAAATCCTCTATTGATAATATCTGTTTAGTGGAGTTTTGTAGGAGAGTTGACTACTTTGGTACATTAACCCTAGGATTGTGGATTTTTTGAAAATCGCATTATGAATTTTAATCAAATTTACGTCATAAGCATTTTTCATGTGTTGTTTTTTTTTTTAGCAATCCTTGAACATTTGAGCTAACATTCTAGCTATTTTCTCCCGAGACGAGTTTGAGTATGCGATCAATCTTGATATTGTCGTACTGATTGAACTCAGTTTAGTTAAGACAATGGAAATATATAGTAACTTTCTTTCTAAAACTAGGGACCAGGTCCCTGTTTCAGAATGTACATAATCGCAGATATAATATTACATAATACTACTATTTTGCTTACATTACCGGACTATTATCTTCTAAGTAACTTTTTTTATACCATTCTCACCTTTTTTCTATTATTTGCACACATAAGATTTTGCCTTCAAATTTAAATTTTCTCTTACACCTTTCTTCAGCTCTCGTTTTGTTAAAGGCTCTGTCGTCGGCTAGAAGTATGCTTTATAGCGGTGCATAAAGTTAAATTTGTGTCGACCTGGCTTAAAAGCTGTTGGCTGCCACACATATTTTCATGCTTTTGTAGAAAAAAGGAAGACACTGCAACTAGCTGAAAGGCGACAAAGCACACACATGCACACGTATATGCTTTGCTCACTTAATGGTCGACTGCTGCTCATTCGTGTGCTGGCAGCACATATCAGAAGTTACGATGGGTCCGACAGGCACTTTTGGTATTTCAATGCAGTTTTTCGACGCTTTCACACAACGTACACATATACACACACATACACGCCTATGCATAGACATACACTGATGCTTGTAGCTCGCAACAAAGGAAGGAAGTGTGGGCGCAAACATTATGCTTGACAGTACGGTGGCCGGTGTGTTAAGGTGACAAGGGTGGGTTGTTGTATTTTTGTTTTTATTGTTGTTTTTGCCTTGTTGTTTATGCGACAATCGAATTTACTGCTTCATTAAATTTTGTGCTTCCGGCCAACGCACTGTGTCTCGGCAATTGTTTGGTTGTGTGTGCGGGTGGATGTGCGTGTGTGAGTTGTGCCTTTGCCAACATTTTAATCCGACAAAGGATATTAATGGGTCGAGAAAAGAAGTTCTCACACACACACGCAGGAATAAACATTTTCATCCACACACTCACATATACCATACACATACAAGCGTGAGTAGTTAGCAAGCGTGCGCCACTTTGTGGCAAAACTTTGCTTTCAAAGCTAGCTAAGTGGCTGTTATTGTTGTTGCCCGCTGCTTTAGTATCACTTACGCCCAATGTGGGGTATTCTCACAGCACAGCCTACGAATGTCAGCAAACAGGTGGCCAATTGCGTCTTATCTCGGCTAGAACTATGCTAAACTAAACAGCCCATAAAACAATTAAACGGGACCGCCTATGGCGCTTCCGGACACATTTCGGCTGAGTCTGTGTGATTTTGTACAAATTCGGCTGAATTTTTATTGCATGGCGCTTGATTTGCATATGTCAAATGCGAGCTTAAAGGAATGCCAACAAACCGCGTGTAGCATAATTCAAGGCGCGCGAAAGTGAGCCGAACACATTTATATTTTTTCTTGTTTTCGTCTTCAAGCTTGCTTGTGATAAATTGTTTTAATAATTGTAAATCAATGTGTGGCCGACAGGAGGGTGAGGACGAGTTAGGCAGCTAAAGCGGTGACTGACACAATGCCAAATCGGCTGGGTTGTTGTTGGTGTTAAAACGCCCAACCCTTGTGCAGACACATATGCCTGTGCCAATGTCTACTATATATCTGTTGGTCTTTATGCCGACGGAGGCTGCGTGCGGTTGAGTGGTGGCATCACCGCAGCGCTATTGTCTTCGGTGTCTAACAAAATATGTTTGATTTTAGGCTTACAATGTCAGATTGTCGGATTTATTTTGGATTCTAGCCGTATGCAAGCAGTCAGCAAGGGCAGTGCAATGCGCAAAGAGGGACGAAAGAGCGGAGGGCAGTGCGGTGTGTGGGCTTATTGCTGTGCTGTTAATAAAATTAGCATATAAATTAACTTTGCCAGCAGGTTTGCAGACTATCAATGTTGCTCTGGCTGCGTTGTTGTTGTTATATTTGTTTCTCTTATAGTTGCTATATTTGTTGTAATTTTATTGTCATTGTGGGCAATTTTTCATGTTGTGTGTCATTAGTTGTTGTTGTTGTTGTTGCCGCTGTTCATATTCATTGATGTGCCATTTGGCAGGATATTATCGGCAGCGATGATTACGAAATGATTAACACATTTCACGTGTTAAGCCCTGGCGCAATTTAGCTATTTTCAGTTTCGATTTTTTCCACTCTCCGAGCGAAAGGGTGCGTTTTGCGTTGGCCTTTTTCATGTATCCATATATTTATGCATGTGTGTGTTTGAATGTTTGTGTTTATGATTGTGCATGTGTTCGCTTACATGTTTAATATGCATACACATGCACGGTCCTAAATCAATCGGCGTGGATTTGTAGCTAATGACGGGATAAAGACAGGATATTAAGGTAGAGCTTCGTGTGGAACATCTTACCCGAAAAAGAAGTTCGTGCGCAACACTTGCTGCATAATAATTCTCGAAAAGTATTTTTATCATGTGGGTGCATACGCATAAACATATAAATTATGAGTACATTTATATGAGATTTATTACTAGGCCATACATCTCTCAGTGTGAGTTTTTTTTTATATATAAACACTCATCGATATTCAATGGAAAACACTGGCATTCCTTTACATTACTTGATATCCGGATCCGGATTTAAATCGTTAAATTTCGAAAGGTAAAATGAAAAAAAAATATCAAACACTTTTTATTGACTTAAAAGCGGCTACTCTGTGTTGCCAGGCCTATAATTCTAAACGCGGAAAGTTACGCGAATATTGAATTTAGGCAAATTCTCTATTAGAAACGGCTATTCGCTATTTGAGCAGTAGGTGGAGACCCTATAAACTACCTATATATAAATAATCAGCGTAACGAGCCGATTCGATTTAGCGATTCCCGTCTCTCGGTATATATCTGGAACCTTGTACACACCATTTTTTCACCAAGAAGGTGCTAATTTCTCGGAACAGCCGATATCGGATTACTATATCATGTAGTTGCCATACAAACTGACCGATCCAAATAATTATAAAGATCTTATTATACCCTTAAATGTTATACGAAATGCAGCTGTGCAGGATATTACAACCGAAGTTAACTGTTTGTGTTTTAATCGAAATACGAACTTATTTACAAGCCTCCTTACAATAAATGAATACTTCTTTGAATTTTTGCCAAAATGTTATGAAGATAGTGAAATTGGTTTTGGCAAATATCTTGAAATTGATAGATATCGCCAACTTAAAAGTCAACTTCTGACATAATTTATAATCCTTAAAACAATATTTGATCCGCAATTCGTAAGTCAGCGTCGTGATATGCATTGTTGTAGTAAAGCCGAAACACCATTGAATTGTCACAAATTTGTACATTTAATTCGGCATTCGGTTACCACTTTCCGCTACTTACGTTTCTGTACAAATTTTGTGGCGACGGCACGTGGAACTTAGAAACTTAGTGAATCGCCGTTGATCCATTACAGTTCGAACGTCGCTCCAGCATCTGGCAGCACAGCTGGACGCCAAGCAGTGCAAACACTCTCAACATGTTGCCAAATTGACTTATCATTATTTTCAGAAATGCAATTTTTACGCTCGAACACGCTGAGAGATTACTGGCTG